CGGCACACCACTGTCAAAACGTAAAAAGTACTAGTGCATCTTCACGCAGAGAGTGGCAAGATGCATCCAATACTATAAATAACAAAGGATGCATCTTACCTCTTTCTGGGGAAGATGCATTCATTTTTTTCTCGTTTCCACACTGGTGTGGCGAGGCCCTACTTATTTGGTTGGTGCGGCCATGTTGCCACATTTCACACTTTTTTTTCCATCCCTCTTATGTCTGTCTGTCTATGCCTTTGGTCGACAGCTGTTTCGTTGCTTGTTCTCCCATCTGATTCCATCAGGATTTGAGCTCGTGATCTGCACGTAGTTCCTAAGGCGAGCGACTGACTCCTAGTCGTATTGGATCTAGCATATGAAGATGGAAAGCGTAGACGTATGACGCCGCCTTCGGCCTACGAGGTGAGATAAGGGTATAGTCTAACCTCTAGTGAAAACTAGAGATGATTGGAAAGGCCAATCAAACTCGGAGATAGCTGGTTTTCCGCGAAATCTATTGAGGTAGAAGAGCATGTTGCCTTCTATGTGTGAATGCGGCTTCTCGTACAACGACTCTGAGTATTACTTTGTACTTAGTCTCTCGTTCATCATATTGTTGTTAGGGCAAGTCCTGTTCTCTGTGTCGGGTTACATAGATCATAGATCAGTCAGATGGGAGTTCACTCAGGTGTGGAGGTGGTTTTTTTTTCCCCTTCCATCAATCTGTGTGGGCAAGGTGGATTGATTGTGACACTTTTATCAAGCGGATCATGAAATTTGATGAGGTCCCTTTCCCTTTGTTCATGGTCTTTTCCCTCTGCCCACTGAGTACAAAACTTTATTGGTTGTGCGGCCATGTTGCCACATTTTGCACATTTGTTTTCATCCCTCTTATATCTGTCAACGCCGTCGGGTGACAGCAGCCTCATTGCCGCTTTGACCTTGTTCTCCCATTCAGGATTTGAACTCGTGATCTGTTCAGCAACATTCAGCCACGAGAACTGGGTTCTACCCGTTTTCTGACTCCTCTCCTCCCATCCTCACAATCATGTTGCATCATGGCAATCTCTCTCTCTCTCTCTCTCTCTCTCTCTCTCTCTCTCTCTCTCTCTCTCTCTCTCTCTCTCTC